ATAGATAGATAGATAGATAGATAGATAGATAGATAGATAGATAGATAGATAGAATTTTTTTTATATCAGACAGTCTCACTTAGGCTGGCCTCAAACTCAAAGGAAGCCTCATCCTGCCTCATCCTTCTAACAGTTGGTATTACAGGTGTGAGTCATACCTGGCTTTTAAACATTCAACTTTTGTACGAACCTAAAATAATTCTGTAGAACAAAGCATATTCCCATTTATTAAATAAAAACATGTTGGGGTAAGCAATGTTAAGAGTGCGTGCCATCAACCCTGACAACTTTAGCCTGATCCCCTGGACCCATACGATGCAAGAAAAGAACTGATTTCCATAAAGTGTCCTCTGACCTCTACGTATATGATATGGCAAGAATTCACACACACGAATACAGACTGAATAAATTTAACTAAATAAAGCCTCAAAAAAGTTCAAACAAAATATCACAGAATATGCTGCTAGGAGGCCATACAGTAAGTGTTAGGAGAAGTTTGTACACTAATGGAAATAAATATTGGCAATGACTTCAAGGCGCACAGAGAGCCAAAAATAGCGACAGGGTGGCCCAATATAAAACACAGTCTTCCATCTTGTTTCATAGTTCTTCAAAAGATATTGTATTAAGTAGAAGTGGTTTTGTAAAACATTTTATGGTACATGAAAAACTAAAATACATGTCCCTTATGGCACAAAGCATAGGGAGAGGGGACACAGAAGTATGTTGTCTATAGACCATTCCACAACATACATTTCATTACATGTCAGCGTTATAATGTAATGTGACAGTAAGCTACACATTGAATATGAATATCAACAGTCCTGCAATCACCACTAAAAATATTCAAAAATATAATTGTAAGTCAATAGTGGAGATAAAAATGAAATTCCAAAAATTGCTCAGTTAATGAAGAGGAATCTGGAGTCAGGGTGAAAAGAAACTAGGAACAGATGGGACAAATAGAAAACAAGATTATGTATTTTATCCCAGCCTTACTTACAGTCACATTAATTATCAATGATCTAAACACTTCAGTTAAAAGGCAGAGATTATCCTATTGGATAAAAATGCAAAATCCTAGCATAAGCTCTGTACAGCTAAAATATAAAGATTCAAATGGGTCAAGAGTAAAAGAATGGAAAACAAAAGATATTTAAAAGGTCAAACAGCCCTCAGAATAAAGAGTCTTGCCAGGGATAATAATGTCTTTTAAGCTAATAGTTTCAATCCATCCAAAAGACAATCTTCCTGCATATAGAACCAACTAAGTAATAAAACACCAAATGATAACTTTTAAAAACTAGAAGGAGGACTAGACAGAGAATTGTATTGGACATTTAACATTCTTCTCTTAATAATTCATGAAAAAATAAAATATGTAATAAAATATGTAAGAAGCAACAGCAGGGAAACTTCCACACACAACGGGCAGAAAGCACATAGTGAACTCAGAACGTGATACACTACACGCAAGCCCTGCTCACACACCACCATGACATAATCCCAGCACAGAATGGGGAAAGTGGACATGAAATCCCACCACTGGCCGAAGAGCTACTGGGGGAGAGAGCTCTGATGTGACCTTTAGTTAGCTGGTCACACACAAGGCAGTCACCACTCCCCAAACCAAAACAAAGGGAAAGAAAAAGAGGAAGACATCTCAAGTCGGGAGGAAGGCATGGAAAAGTGGAGAAGGAAGAAAGGGGGGAATGGGAGGAGAAGGATAAACGTACAAAAGCATTGTTTGAAATTCTCCAACACCTAATAAAATATCATTCAAAAAGCAGAAGGGCAAACATCCACAATCAACTCAATTTGTACAACTCAACGTCTATCACAACACCAAAACATACATTTTTTTTTTTCAGGTGTACTTAAAATATTTGTCAAGGTGTACCATGGGCCAAAATGCAAGTCAATATATTTAACAGAATTTAAAACATAGAATATGCTCTCTGATCATGCTGGAGTTAACCCAAAAGTTAATGATAAATGATGCATACAAAATCTCCCATAATAGCTAGAGATTATTATATTTAGATACCAGTAAATTATCATTTGCTCACAAGTGATGTTAGAATAAACTCTAAATTAAAAGTGTAAATGTGTTAAAATTTGTGATATGATGGCAATGCTACTTAGGGAAGACATCTACACTTTTAAAGTGTTTCTGGTTTATTTTGTTTTGTTTAATCGGAGCAGTTTATCTATGTTCTTAAAAAAAACTTAAAAAAAACTAAAAAAGATAAGGCCTGATCTGAGTTTGATCTCCAGTACACACCTGGTAGAAAGAAACCCACTCCTGCATGTTGTTCTCTGACCTCCATACCACTGCTGGGGCACAGGCTCACCCACACACTTACATATACAAGGTAAACAAAAAAATGCAATGAAAAAAATAAAAAGAATTAGCAAACTCAATTAAAAAAATAGCTGAAAGTAAATGATCAAACTGGGAGTATATATCAGTGATTATAAAAAAATACAGGAAGAAAATTAATAAAAGTCAAATGCTTTTTTTTTTTACCCCAAAGATTGTTGAACACATGCATATGTATGCGTTTAACATTCAAATAAGTATATAAGATGTTCAAACACGTGCTCTAATTTCTTCTTTCAAAGGGCTTTTTATGGTAATAATTAAGTGCTTGGCCCCTGCAAAGAGGGTTCTCACCAGCTATGTTCTTACGCTGCTGCCTTCTACCTGTGCGTGGTGATTTCTGCTTTCCATTTATGATGGCGGCTTAAAATAAACACAGTTAGGATGTGTTAAAAGAAAATCTGACCTAAGGAAACCTTACAACGGTGATACAGATGGAACGTGGGCATGTGAGATAAAACCAGGAGAACTCTGAGCTTGTTTCCAACGTGGAGATTGGACAGTTGATAATAACAAGGCTATGGTCCTCCAAAGCTCTTAGGGGAACTGAGGGGGTTGGCATGGAGGCTACCAGATGACATTCATCTGCACCACACAATTGAACATTATTAACCAATAAATAAGTAAAGCTATAAGATAAGCTTCTACCCAAAGCAAACAAAAACTAGCACTCTGGGTAATCATTACTGGTTCTGAATTTCCATTATATGGCACAGATGTGAGGTTTGCTCTAAATAGAGCATGAAATTGAGATAAAACAAAATGTGCTGACAGACTTATTTGTTAACCTGGATATTCCACATCAGTCACTAGGACTTGGCTCCATTTTTAGCAAAAAATATCCTGGGGAGAATTTTTCTATAGTTTAATTGTGTATGTGTATGTGTGTGTGTGTGCGCATATATAACACATACACCCATATATAGTATAATTCTATAGTATAATTTTCCTATAGTATACATTAATAAGGAATTGGGCCCATGGTTGCTTTTCGACTGGTGTGCAGAGACACAGGCTCATTGGTGCCCAGTGTGGGCTCTGAGAATAGCTCCATGTTGCACCTTCTCTCTTTGCTAATAATATCTTGATGTCCACAGTGACAGCCTTGAGACCAGAGAGGAATCAGAAGTGGATGTCTTGAAAGAAGCCCGACCCCCGGATGAGTCCCCGAACCCTCACAGCAGCAGTGAGGAGAGTACAGGCAGCTGGTCCCAGCTGGCCAATGAAGATGACAACCCGGATGATGCAAGTAGCTTTCTACAGCTCAGCGAGCGATCCATGAGGTATCTCCTTCCCCTTCCCTTGGCTTCCTAAGGAAGTTGACATCAACAAAGATTTCCAAAAACTCATGTTATTGTTCAGTACCATGTGCCGTTAATAGAACAGGAGAGAGAAAAAAGAAAGAAAGAAAATGTGTGTGGTGGGGGAGGCCCCCAGTTGATGAAGGTCCCTGCCTATCCTGATTGGGCTAAAAACTATCTTAAAATCTAGTTACGACTTGACCACCTTGACCACGTTTAATAGTTAGCTGTGATTTCTTCCTCAAACGTCACAGCAGGTATACTGTTAGTTTTCATGTAAGCTTGTGTTACACTACCTGGGTTTGAACTTTCTTTCTGATTCATTTGCATTTCAGATGCAACACAGGCTGGGTTTATATGAAGCAAGTGTTTCCACGCTGTTGTACTGCTTGCCCTGACTTTTCCCTTCCTTTATCTCCTGTGCCTTCCTTATTGTTTCTGGAAAAGCTAGCATCTAGCTGTAACCGCTAGAGTGAGCTTCTCCGCCCAAAGTCTTTTGGAATCCAGGCCAAACAGACCAGAGACTGTCCAGAGAGGTTGGCTGGAAAGTGAGACTGAAATATCTTGGTGTGGATAAAAGATTTTTGAAAGTTCTATTTCTGACAGCACAATCTAAGAGTTAGGAACATTTTACATTAAGTAAGTGGTTTCAAATTTCAAATATTCCCACAAAATGTTATAAAATAGATACAGAGAAGCGAAGACAACTTGAATCTTTGGACCTTGAGTGTCAGGCTTCAGACAAGAGCTTTAAGATTGAAGAGTCTTCTTGGTGAGTCACACAAACATGAAGGAACAAAGCACCGTTGCATGACACACGAGCAGGCACTATTGCCAAACCTTGCTCAGGAGAGGTATTGTTGGAAAATGCAGGAAGTATGAGAAGACTCAGTAAGTTTGAAACAAATTGGATAGGTTTTATTTCACAAGTACAGACAGAGTCTAAAAATCGTCTTGGCAGTACTGTTTCAGAGAGCATATTCCAGGCTCATAAGTAGGCCATATGTTAATTGCACAACTTACAATAATGATACCATACGCAATATTCTTTTTCTATGAGACACAAGGTATCACATGTCGCTCCTTTCCGGAGGCTGAAAGAACAAAGCCTTACCCAACTTTGTATTTGTAAATTCCATAGTCCTCCAGGAAAACAAGAAGTCAGATGTATGTTCTATGGAATCCTGTGGAATATCCCTAAGAATATTTCTCCATATAGCAAAAGGAGACCATGGGTCTCTGACTTCTTTCTAGATACAAGAAGCAGGCAGAGAGGCGTTAGGGTGTTTACCCTAGCGACATATTCACCCCTGTATATTCACCCATGTAAGCACATCAGTGTCAAGGAGTCAAGGATAAACACCCTCTCCCTAAGCAGAATGGAGAAGTAAAGAGAAATGTTCTTACCAGTTATGTATGACTCACTGGGTATCAGTAGTACGGTCATAACGCACTTGGATTCTACCTTCTGTCTGCCTTTAATTTGGTCAAACATCGATACTGATGCAGAAGGTCAGGCACAAACCTGTCGTGCCCTGGGGAACAACTAAGGCCCTCTCCCTACAATGGAACATCAGTGTCAGCAGCGTGGCCAAGGGTGGAGACGGGCATTAATATGTAAACTTTTGCTTTGTCAGCAATGGCAACAGTAGTGCCACTAGCAGCCTTGGCACTATGGACCTGGACATTTATCAGGAAAGCATACCGTCTTCTCCCATGATTAAGTAAGTAGCCACGTGACTCAGTGACCGACAGCGCCACTCCAATTCCATCCGGCAATCCATCGTGATCATAAAGGTTGTGCCCAGCCACCAGTTCATTCTGTCTGTTCCGCTGTGCTTCCATGTCACTGGAGTGGAGGACTAAGGCCTAGAATACGCCCAAACCCATCACTACCTGCTTTCTTGATTTCAAACCTGTCCCTTACAATATAGTCATTGCAGATAAAGTTGACCAGTATTATCAGAAGTACATGTCATCTTCCCTAATTTGATTTACAGAAACAACAAACAAACAAAACCATTGAATTGTACCATGGCTCAATCAGAAGACTACTCAATAGCCTTTTCTATAGAACACAGGCATTTCAGCAAAATTAGATATGAGTGGCTTTTCCTTTGCTTGTAGAGACTGGGATTACCACAATGTATCTGGTGTCATTGCTTGCCAGGAGAGAGATGTCATCCCCATGCAGTAACTCTGGCCTTCTCAGAGACCAAAAGAAAGAGGTTCTTGGAAATGTACTACATGAAATGACACAGACGGGAGGGCCACCTGAAGCCGTGGCTACTTCTAAAATTTGTGATTTTTCTGGAAAAGTAACTGAAGTGTATTCTACTTTTGGTCATGACGACTTAGAATATAATTTGGGTATTCCAAACTAATAAATCTGTATTGGTCTAATGATGATTCCTAATGTATTTCCCTCTGGCTAACTACAGATTAATTGATTTTATTTCACCACTGAATAAGTGTATTCTTCAGTGATTGAAGGTCCTCACAACCCTTGCTTGCTTGTAGGTTTTAATACCTACAAGCAAACATGAACACACACATGAACTTTGTTAGGAGAACTGAAAACAAATTCAACAAAAAATTATTTGCAATATATTAATATTTCTCCTTTGAAACACATTAATGTAGCACTTTCACCATCTTTTTTTTGTAATATGAAACTATGACTTCAAGCAAAGCTTGTATTGAGGGAAAGCTAAGATCACTTCCATCCCTACCCAGCATCCCATCATTACTTAGTATCAGAAATTGTACCTTTCCCTTGCAAAGGGAGCAAGAAGAGTCTCTGAACCCTTAGGAAATTGACATCCCTGCAAATTAGATATCAATGGAAGAATGGCTACACTCTTTCTCTCAACTGCAATGAAATTTACCTCACTAGTGGAATTTATCCATACAATGGAATGCATTAGCCAGATCTTAGCAGCAACAGAGAACATAAGGAAACAATCATCACCAAAAAAAAAAAAAAAAAAAAAGAAAAAAGAAAGAAAGAAAGAAAGAAAAACAAAAAACATTTCTAAAATTTCTAAAAGCCTCATTCCTAATTTCTAGAAACTAGAAAAACAAAGGACATACACAGGCATCCACATACCAGATGGTCACTTATTTTCAGCTACTGAGTTATGCGGCCTTATTTCAGAAGTTTTTACTGGGTCTCCCCACTACATACAGGGATCTATAATACGTACACACCATGAAAAAACAAACAAACAAACAACAAAACCTCCAATAGTAAACATAACCCTGGCTAAGGAGAGGCTCAGTCATGGTTATGAGATATTCATTGTGGGGAATCCGTAGCCTGTTTTATCTCCACCAAATAAAAACAATGGAAAAGAATAAAGATTCTACTATTGAGACATTCTGTCATATTATTTAAGTTTTACAGCTTGTTGATTGTCCTTATTCCAGCTCACAGAACAATCAACATGTAAAACGTATCTTTCTACTTTAAAACTCAAATGTACCTTGTTGTCACAGTTCAGAGACATACACAGTGACAAAATGGAAAAATATGGTCCATTAAGAGACAGGTAAAATGGAGGAGAATAACTCTTCAAATTAAATCTGGTTCCTTGAAATCTCTCTTTAGCTGTTCAGCCTTATGGAGGTTTGTGGAAAGGGAGTTCAAAAGAAAATAAAGATAAAATTCTCAGAATCTCCCCCACTGACTGTTCTAACTGTTCTAATGCCATTCAAGATACATGGGACTTCTCTTTGGTTGTGGGGAACATTAATTACAGACCCAACCATTTTATGTACTACCCACTTGGATCTTCTTTGTTCTGTGAAAACCATAAAAATGAGTTCCAGATGTTTGTAGCTCAGAAAGACCCATCACATCATCTTCCATTACAGCTTATTCTTGCAAAGCATTACCAACCATATACTGTTGTTTTCTCCCAAAGCGAATTAGTAGAAGAAAAGGAGATGCTTAAGGAGCAGTCAGAAAGTGTAAAGGGTAAGCCAAGTTCCCATCCTTTTGACACACAATTGTGTGGTGTGGGGGTGTCCCTTTGGAAAGCAGAGTAAGGTTGTGGTTGTGTCTGTTCAGAACACGTCTCTGGGCTGCCAGGAAGAGCAGCCAGCCCCCAGAGGAGCCTGTTGGTGATCAACTTTGACCTGGAGCCAGGGTGCCCTGATGCTGAGCTTCGAGCCACGCTGCAGTGGATAGCCGCCTCAGAACTTGGGATCCCAACAATCTACTTTAAGAAATCTCAGGAGAGCAGAATTGAAAAGGTACCATGTTGTGTCTGTGCTTTTTATCTCGGCTGGAAACCCCATGAATGCCTATTTAATCTGTAGGAACTTCAAGTGTTTAATCTTGATTTCTCTCAAAAAAAAAAGAAAAAAAGAAAAAGAAAAAATCTTACAAATACTTTCAGGAACCCAGCTGTGACAGCCCATTCACCATCACCACTCCATTGACCTTCGGTCTCTTAAATAGTTGGCAGTAAAGAGAAAAGGAACTGAGGAAAGAGCAGCTTCTCAACATTTTGAAAAGTATTTTGTTATATTCCTAAACCCTGCTTTTGCTACAAAACCCTCCTGAGTAATTCCTCAATTAAAAACTGTCTCTCAGTTAAATAACATTAGGATTGCAATGCACAATTTCACTCTAAGGTTCAGGGCCAAACATCCTGAGATAAGACCCTATGCTCTCTGAAACTAGAATAGTTTCGAAGTCTCTGGGACCCCAGGCAGTTGGATGGGCTGCTAGAGAGATCTTTCCCCACACCTTCTCCCACTTCCAGCTCTCTTCAACCAGCAATTTGTTCTTCTTTTCATGTTCAAGTCCACTCAAGCCAACTGTCTGAAGTTGTCCTTCCTTTGTTGGCAAAGCCTTAACTGGCTCACCAGTTGATAGACTCTCCTGTCAGTCTTTCCACCCCTAGTCTTCCCAGTGCAGAGGATGGACAAAGAGAGCATAATCCATGAATCACCCTGGACTCCTCCCACATCATACTCAGTTCCAGGGGAGGGAATGGAGAATATTCTCAGGGGGGACAGTGTTCCCAGGTTCACATAAAGGGTTGGTTTTGTATCTCTAGCACATCCCTGAATGAAAGCATCCCCTGGTGCAATTTCACGTGGTATGCTAATTAAACTCATAGTCATTTACTCCACCTCCTTAAAGGGGCAGTCACTTTTCATGCATGTATTTCTAATAAATTCCCCATTTTTGCTGGGGGGGTATTTTATCGATGTTTTAATATGCAATCCACAGCTTAGCTTGTTATCTCTTTACATCTACCAGGTTTTCAATTTTAAAGCGAATGCCTGTCTTTGTTAATAACCATTTCTGAGAAGTCAGAGGTTTCACTCCTGTTATCAGGAAAAACACTAGGTGACCTTTCATATATTCATATCAGTTAGCTCAAGGGACTTACATATAAGTGATGCAGTCTCGAGGACTAAGATTTCCAGGTTTTGTTCTGAGTCAATGAGGGCTTTCTGCATACCTTGGCTTTGAAACAAATGGTCATCACCCTTGGTTGTCTGTGACTGGACTGGTTAAATAAAGAACACTTACATGACACTTAGACATTCTTTCCTTGGTAGTGAGGTCAGAGCCTCAATTCAATTTGTTTCCACTTAGCCAAGTAGTTAAGTGGTCAACTTTAAGGGTGTGGAAAAGAGCAGTAAAGATAGCGTGCAAAATCAGCAATCATTACCTCCTCATCTCAGAGAAGAGAGACCCTCAGTTCAGAAAACGCACTTTCCACTGTCACTCAGAATCAAGCACATCCTTGAGTGACCACCCTATATCTTTTTGTTGTTGTTGTTCTGTGTTTGTTTGAAACGTCTCATGTAGTCCAAACAGGCCTTGAACGCTCCTTGAGGCAGGTGATGACCTTGAAATTATTTTAATTTTAATTATGCACATTGGGAGTGAGGGGGCCATATGCACGTGGGTGTCAGTGCTCCGAAAGGTCAGAAGAGAGTGTCTGACCCCATGGACTTACAGGCTATTGTGAGCTGCCCAATATGGGTAACAGGAACAGAAGTTGGGCCCTCTACATTATATGTTCTTGACTAGCGATCCATCCCTTCAGCACCAACCTTGAACTTCTGACCTTTATGCCTCAACCTCTCATGTGCTGGGATTATAATCATGTGCCAGCTTGTGTTGTTCTGGGAACTGATGCCTGGTTTCATGAATGTGAAACCAGGACACCCGCAACGGAGTTACATCCTCAGCCCAGAAACCTAAGTCTTTATTTCTGGGAATGCTGACCTAATTTTCTCAGCAATTAATTTAGTCAATATGTATCCAGTTATGATGGTCTCAGCTGACTAACCTTTCTGCTTTGTGAAAACAGAGGCATGTGGCAAAGGGGAGGAGGGTGTCATGAGCACTAACACAACTCATGTTTCATGGGAAAATTTGGCCTTGGACCTAGAAGGCCCTTAAAGACAGCAAAAGATGAATCCCATAAAAGGCAAATTCCAAGTACCCCAGATGCCCAGTGCATTGTCAGTTGTCTAATGATTCATGGTGCCCTTATTTCCAGGCCTCCCCTTTCCTTTGTATTTTGTTTAATCATTAGAAGGCTACATGCCTTTGAATATCATACATTCAAAACATCCATCAAACATTCCTAGAGTACCCTCTCCATGCTGGTACTGTCTCAAGCTCCAGGGCTGAGACAGCAAAAGAGACAAAAGTTCCTGTCATCTCAGAGCTTGCATTTCAGTTCCAGAAGAAGCACCAATTGTCTCCAGAACACAGGAGAAGGGTGTTGTTCGTAAACAGCCATCTTGAGATAGCACAGTGTGGATTCAGTAAGGAAATTAACATTCGTCTAGGAAGCTGGTGTCTAAGCCACACACATTCACCACTCAAACGCATAGGTTCCTTCCATCCATTCAAAAACCACTAAAGTCTATGAACTTTTCCACGGGAAGGCTCCTGACACTTCTGACACCTGATAACCTCAAACAGTTCACAAAGGTAATTCTCTACAACCTTGACATCAGGTGAATTTAATCCAGTTTACTGAAGGCAAAATAAATAAATAGTCATTGGCAAAACTTATAAAATCAATTTTAACTGCTACTTTCCAAGGTTTATTGGGGGATTTTGTATGCTTGTTTATTTTTTAAATGCAGAGTTCATGGTTTTTGAGCTATCTTCCTGCTCTAAAACTTGAATGAGCCTCTGAACTCTAATAAGCCAATGTCTGGCATCACATGGCATCCAGCTCAACTTTAAACTTTCCGTGAGAAGCGTTTCCTTTCCTTGGAAGCAGTGTGTGAAAGGCAGCTTGCAGAAGGAGGACATAGACCCTTTCCTTCCTGTGGAAGTGAGAGTCGGAGCAGAAATGGCTTCACCTCTAATTTCTTATTCTATTCTACAAAGTGGCGGGAGGGGGAGATGAAAGGAAACACTGATGATATTGACTGTTGACTCAAGTCCCCTTCTGCATAAACACGGGCACAAACTCCAGCTAAAGTGCCAGCTATAAACAAACACCTAAGAAAGAAAGAGGAAGGGGATTGGATCCTGAGGGTTTCTGTTTGTAAATTTTAAAAAATGCATTAATTATTACATTAATCCTTTCATCAGAAATCTCAAATCAGGAAGTGTTAGAATCACCCCAGGAAGGCTTCCAAACCCAGAGCCTCAGCAGTCAGTTCAGAATCTCCACTGGAAGGAAGACCCAACCCCTGGTGGAGGTCTAGAATGTCAGGATCCAGCTCAAGTTCAGAATCAGGGTTTTATAGGCCATAACTTTGGGGACAGAGTAGGGACCCTATCACTCTGCTTAATGAAGTCTGATTTCTGCCTTGGAGCAAAAGACGGTGACAGCTTTCAGTATGCATTGAATGTGTCAAAAAAAAAAATCACTGAGCTTGCTGTAATTCCCATTATTGAAGCAGGAGTGGTAAACTATCAAATCTACAAAACACACCTGGGAGTACAAAGGTCTGCTACCTAATGAGCTGTTCTTCGGGTGAGTGTGCTGGCAATAAGCAGTCATGGAATATAGAAGCTCTTGAGTTGTTTGTTCGTTTTAAGTCTACAGTCTGTGTTGTCTACAGAAAGAGAATTTAATTACTGATTGTGAAATGTCAGTACAGAATGGAATTTATTGTTGTTTGTTTGTTAGTAGATCAGGCTAAAAATCCAAATCCCTGACATACGAAAGCCGATTATGACCATAACACGAGCAGGCTTAATGAAAGCTCTAGGGTCAATTTGCTAGAAGAATGTAGCTCTAAAAATAGGACAATAAACTGGTCCTGGTGGTGGCAGCTTGTAAAACCCGGATACTGGGGGGGGGGGGAACTGAGGCAGGAGAACTGCCCCAGCTTGGTTCAGCTTGGACCATAGAGTTTATGGTGACCTCAAGCAAAGTGATTGTCTCAAAACACAAAGCTGAAAGAAGGTTGGAGATAAAGCACATGAGTTGTCAAAAGCTTAACATCCAGCTATGGATATCTGTCTATTCCTCAGACTTCAAATAAGACCTAAGAAGGGTTAATGAATTGAATTATTCAGATGGGCTAGCCTCCTCCCCTACCTTAATTCACATTGTCACTAATACCCTAAAGCCTCCTGTTTCCACTCTTGTTCTATCCAACACATGACCTGAGTTTATATACACACTAAAATGTAAGTAACAGTTGACATAATCATTCTCAGGTGTCTCCACAAACCAGCCACAAGGACCATTCATTCCTTGGGAGGTGGGGGGGGGAGCATTTGCATTATAAGCAAAGCCTTCCAGTAAAGGTTTCCCATCTGTCCCTGAAGTGTCAGGCTCAGGCAGAGAAGGAACCAGACAGGGTGCAGAGGCATCCCAGACAACTAGTGTCTTCTCTAAAACTACCACAGAGACACATGGAGCTGAATAAGTTGAACTTCCATTGTTGTCGTCATGAATGTTGAGGGGAGGTCACGAATGCACTACCTCAGGGATGTGTGTGCCTGCTGCCAGTCATCACCAGGTGATGAGAGACATGCCCTGTGATGAGAGACATGCCATCTTCTATTTAGAAACTCGCTGCTGCCAATTCCCACTCCGGGACCTGTGGCCTTTAGCCATCTTCACAAAGTTTTATTTCAGTAGAGAGGAAGGAACAGTCATTCAGATGCGCATGTTTGTTTTTCTTCTGGATTATACGTGTGTAAACGTGCTACCTAAAACTTCAACGATATTGGATGTCTGCATGTATTTCTTGGGAAATTAAGACGCACTTGACTCCATTTACCCACCTATTCCTTCTGTCATTCAGCAAATATTCATTGACTCTTTACTGCAGGCAAAGAAAACCATGGCTGAGATGGTGCCCTACTCTGGGGAGATCAGTAGCCTTAACAGAATGAACAGCTGCTTTCCTTTACGAGAACCTAAAACTCTTTAGGACAATATTTATGTTTCCAGATACTTAAAGTATTCCATTTTCTAGTCTAGATGATTGCTTTATTTAGACTCTGCCAATAAATAGTGAATAAAAAAAAAAAATTTAAAGACTCAGCCAAACTATGATCTTAGCGTTTTTAACAAATAACACTCTCCTTCTCATAAAATGCCACCAGATTCTTAGGGTACCCACTCAATTGATGTGCCAAATAGAAAATAATTCTCTCTGATCCTGACACTAAAATGGAGAGAATTGTAAAGAGCATTGGCATACACCAAGGTACTACCCATTGTTCCCAAATCTTATGAACAGAACTGCAAAATGGAAGGAATTTATTATCTGAAATGTCTTAAAAGGAAACCAACTGTCTTAAAAATGTCCCTGGAGACTCAGAGCCCCAGTCTTTGGAGGGGTTCTTCAATGAGATGCTGATGAGGACACTATGATGTATGAGTCCTAACTCTGTGTCTTATTTTAGTTTCTAGATGTTGTGAAGCTTGTTCATCAGAAGTCCTGGAAAGTGGGGGATATATTTCATGCCGTTGTCCAGTACTGCAAACTGCACTCGGAGCAGAAAGAGGGGACTCCGAGTCTCTTTGACTGGCTCCTGGAACTAGGATAAGTCAAGCATACCCTTCAAAGAATTTCCTTCCTCTGTCCCAGCTTAGGTTACAGTGGTTTGCGCTAAACACTCTGAACTTTCTCAATACACAGCATCCCATCAGCAGAACTATTTCAAAATCTGCTCCAGTATCATGTACAGGGAATAAGTCTGAAAGAATGTGAAATATGGCTCTGTCTTAATCAATATCACCGTGAGCATGGCCAAAGGGGCTTGTATGAGAATGGCTTCAAAAAGAAATACTTCAGTGAGGCCCAAATAGGAACGTTTATAACAAGCCCAGCCTCCAGGAAAGCTACACTCCCATATATGTCACAAGACAGAGTGATCTATAATGTCTTCAGCTATGTGAATCAAATAGATACAAAGTCATCAGGTCACAGTAATTCTATAAGTTATGCTAAAAACTTCATTGCACTTTGCTTAATGGGTACTGGGGTTGTCCACCCAAAGAAATACTTAGGACACAGTTAAAAGTTTCCATGCCTTTATGTGAAAGAGTTCCACTCTCGGACCACTATCGATGAATGCTAACACACATGGACCCCACATGAGATGATTTCTTTTATTTGCAGAGGTTGACTTTCTAACTGTCCCTGAGCTCTTCAAAACAAACAAACAAACAAACAAACAAACAAACAAACAAAAAACTAATGTCATTCAATGGGGAAAGGGAAGCTCAAGGTTGCCTTGTTCCCATCACTTACACTTATTACTAGGGTAAAATTATTATGGAAGCCTTGCCTAAAGGCAAACTTTCAAAAGTAAATGGTAAAATAAATAATGGTCTTTTGAGATAAAATATGCTTATGTATCCGATTATATGAGAAATATAATTTTATTTTATTGTAAATTGTGGAGAGATTATCTATCTAATATATTAAGTTGTCTTAGAGCTTCATAAACCATGAAGCGATTGCTGTGTTGAGTTTGGGGGAATCATGAAGCTTGGTGGTTGATTGTACAATGAATGTGCTGGCATCTGTATAGCCGACATGCTTCTCCAAAGACGTCTGTAATGATGGATGCAGGGTAATGTCCTTGTGCTTGATAAGGCCAGTTAGGAATGCAGACTTCCTAACACTTAAGTTAGAGAAATAGAAGCCTTTAATCCATTTTTTAAAAATTGTATTAGAAATGTACTCCTTTGAAAATTCAAAGTATCTATATGACCCTAAAAGTATTCTTCCCTTCTAACTAAATATGCTACAGTCACTTTTATTTTCTCAATCAGAAAGATGTTCAGTATGTGTCTTCTGAAACGCAATGCTTTTATTCTATTTTTAAAGCTTACAGAATAACTTTAAATGTGAATCAGGCCCCACACCATCAATGCCAGCATATCTGGTCTATCTATCATATCCTAAGACTCCAAAAAAAGCTTCCTAGCAAGCCATAGCCACCCCCCCCCCATGACAGGAATCTTTTTCAGACCTCAGCAGGCATTTATTATGAAGACAGTCCAGATTTAGGTGTATGTTCAATCTGTTGCATTAACCAGGTTTTGAAACCTAGCTATCATCTCTACTGAATTGTGCGTGTTTCTTTGTGCTAATATGTGGGAAATGATATTTTTACTGTTTTAACAATCCCAGAATATTGTATGTAAACTCTTGTTGTGCTTAAATAAATGTTTACTTATCCTCCAAAGCACAAATATTGGATGTAATCATGTGTCGTACCTAATGTTGCAAAGTAATCAATAAATTTCTGCTGCAAAATTGTTGTTCTGTCTTTTCTCCTAGGACACAGCGCTTAAAGAGCTTTATGTAAAAACTGTAAAAAAGAAATAGTTACATTGTGAGTAGATGAAGATTAGTATACCTTAGGTAAGATTTTCTGTCCTCATTTCAATTTTTTATTAATACATGTTTAAGACAATTTGTCAGCATAGGGAATATTCACCATAAACCATTGTTTCTCCACCTTGACACTGTTCACATTTGGAACAAGATAAATTCTTGATGTGGGGTATTGTCTTGGACAGTGTAGGATGTGCATCTTGACCTCTTCCAATTAGATACTAATAATTGCCTCTTCCTGACTGTAGCAATCAAGGATGCCTCCTGATATTGCCAAATGACACTCAGGAAATAAAGTCAAGGCTGGTTAAAGACTAACCAGTGTAACAAATGAAGCACATGAACAGGACCTGAGCCCCAGTAAGTAAATGAGGAGCTGAATCCTCTAATCTAAGGAATCTCAATAAGGACCAGAAAGCCAGGCATCCCCTATCCATAGCCCATGGGGGCAACCTTTACACAAAATCATGGGGACCAGAGACATAAAACCAATATGGAGTCAATCACTTGAGTAAATAAGATGAATATTTCAAAGTTATAGGAAAATGTATCTATGTTTTTGGAATTCTAGAAAGAAATTGGAAAGAGCATATGCAAATTAATCAGTAAAAGTTGTAGGCAGTTGATTCACAAAACAGAGCTATGAACATGCTTAGGCCTCAGAGATGTCCCCAGTCACATAGAGGATGTCATCAAATTATAGCAAACACTGGTCACTGCCACGTGGAGACATTAGTTGAAAGGGCTGTTGGAGAATGAACAGGTAATTCAGCAGTATAGACTCCTACGTTTTTCAATAGTCAAACTGAAGGCTGTTTTCTTCAGTAAAAAGGAATAAACAGACTAGAAGGGACGACACTCAAAGGAAGACACTCAAAAGCATCATAACTAGACAGTAGAACAGAGAATGTTTTATTCCATCAGACGGTTCTAAGGAGGACACCAGGTCAAAGTGTAGGACCCAAGCTAACAGAAGCTTGAATGAGAACCATGATCAGTGGATATTCTGGCTAATCATTTACAATAGAAAAACATACCAATTTGCAGGATCTCTCTCTGCTTTTGTTGGAGATGCCAAGTAAGGTAGGGGCACCCATGAACTTTATTTGTGTCATATGGAGGAAGATGATTTCTGGCAATAAGTCCCATCCAATAACACAAATGTTTAGGGGGATGTCTCTGATCGTGGTTATTGTCTAATGTTACAAGGCTCAGGCAAACATCCTCTTGTTGGTATCAAAGACTAAACAAGTGTTATTGGCAAAGCCATCATCCTTGACAATTTTTGGCATCTGATGTCTTTCTTCCATAGAGTAGGACCATGTCATCTCATCTAATAAATGTACTCTTAGTGACTGTAGAGTATCTACATGGAGTATCAGACTCCATGCTAAATAGAACAAAAAACCCAAATCTCACCTAGAAACTAACTCATAGCCCACAGGGTAGACAGACACATCAATATCATAAAACAATATGATCCTTGCTGCTACATAACTCTCTGAGGATTAACAATTTAAAGGTCAGCTGGCAGGAAGTATTTATCACTGCTTGATGAGATATTGGACCACTCCAAGGAGAAACCATGTGAGATTAGGTCCTCATGTTTGACAGAAGCCATTTAAAGAAAGGAGGTAGTAAGAACTTTTAAGGAATGAAAAGAATCCACTCAGAGAAAAAGTAAGATCACAAGCAACCATCTTAACATGCTGTCTGAGGCAGAAGGAATTTGGTGGAATTATAATATCATGGTGAGCTAATGACTTGTAAGATTTGAAGCCAGGAATTGAAATTGAAGGCACATTTTAAGAAGATTTTTATCCATATCCATATTATATTCTTTTCAATCAAAGATGTAGAATCTGATGTGAATGTAAGAGAAATAACATATGAATTTATTTGGGGCCCGCTGAGTTACAGCTTCCATAGGATGATACTATTAAAGAATATGTTGGTTGTGAATAAGGGATCACCACTCTAACTGATTGCTCTTACATAATGCTACAACAGAGGTATCACATCAAGGCTCAGGCCCACAATGCTGTAGCCCCTGAAGAACTTGGAAACTGTATGTTCACAGTTACAATTTACTGCAGCAAGTATGTAGAAGTCTCATTCCAGGAAAGAAAACAGACTTATAGAACCAAGCTAAAGATAATGTAGTGTAGACTTCCAGGTGATCCCTTCCAGGACACCTGCAAAGGACGTTCTTCATTCTTCAGCAATGATATACTAGCTGTGTAATAATACGTGCAAAATGTGTCAACCAGGGGAATTCATTCACCTAAGCCTCGGTACCTAGGTCTTTTACTGAGGCTCAGTCAGGCATGTTGAGCAACGCTTGAGTAACTGACTGTACCTTTTCTAAAGGCATCACCCCTCTAGATCAAGAACAAGGGTTGGCAATAAAACATGTTAATACTGTAAGTTATCTAGTAAAACTGGAACCATGTGGCCCTCCCTATATGTTGCATATGCTAAAATAAAAAGAAGAAACACTCATAGCCCCGCGCAAGCACAGCAACCTAAAGATTTGGCAGTGATATTTAAGAGTCAGACATGAGCCAATTCTATAATTGAGCTTTTTGGGGGGTCGGGGGTGCAGAATATGAGCAATGCAGACTCCTGAGTTAAGTCTTCCTGCAGAGACACTAACTGTCATCTGCTGTTTGGCATGGCCAGTGGAATGTGTGTGTTTCCATTGCAAGTTCCTTGAGACAAGAATTTTATTCTGTTTATCTAAGGTATCTGCAGTAATCCTTTACATGATGCCTTCTCCATAGCTGGTGTCAAATTGGACCGAAAAAGCGAACAGACACATGAAATGGTACCACGTGCATGGAAGATGGGTCTTACCACATGAGTCAGTCTAATCTAGAAACTCTTCCATAAAGGGGAGGAGGACCTCCCCTATCAGTAGACTTGGAAAGGGGCAAGGAGGGGATGAGGGAGGGAGAGTGGGATTGGGAAGGAATGAAGGAGGGGCTACAGCTGGGATACAAAGTAAATGACTTGTGATTAATATAAAATATATATATATATATATATGAAACTCTTCCATAGACATGCCCAGATGTTGGTGTCTGTAGGAGTTCTAAAGCCATTAAGTTATTCAAGATCAGCCACGACAACAGCTGTTACTATTTCGTGATAAATTCTAGCAATGAAACTTTGTTTTGAGGTTCTTCTCAGCTGACTAGGGACAGGCTAGTTGATATAAAATGTCTCTCGTGTTATCTAATGAAATTACTTTGGTTTTCAGGGAAGTGAAATAGTCTGTAAACACTGGATTTTGATTTAAACCACATTAGGATGTTTGACCTAAAACATTAGATACCACAATATAGAGAATGTGGTAGAGATATTGGCATGGCTTTAAGTGTTATTCATCTGAGTTAGCAACAGGATTCAGAGACCAGTTGAAGGCAGATGGGTTTGAATGAAATGAATGGAGTGGAATGAATCATTGAAGTGTAACCTCCTAGGTAACACATAAATAAACAAAATGTCAGTATGGAAAGCTA